GTGTTGTTTCCCTGAGATTTTGGGTACCGTGGTGATTATGTTGAATACATGGCTACATCCCTAAATGTAGGTAGAAGGTTTTATTGTATCTGTAACTGAACCTGTATCATTATGTAACTTGATAGATTTGTTCCATTGATCATAATTTTCCTATTAGTTTTCTACTTGTCAGAATCTGTTCTGTGGAGTTGAGCTTTCTTTGACAAGATGTAACGTACTGATTTTATTTATTTTAGCCTCTGTGCTTTGAGGGAGTGAAGAGCACTGTTACTTGAGTGAGAAATTGCGTATACCGATTTTCTTTCTCAATAGAAGAATGTGCATGAATAATAAATGCAATAGTATTTTGGGTTTTGTTACACTCAAACAGATTAGGACTGAAAGTAGCAACTGCAGACCTTGTTACAGGTAAACTGAAAAACTGAAAGCTTCGATAAAGGTAAACTGAAAGCTATGATACTTGCCTACTACTTAAGAGTTATTTGCTCAGTATATTAATTGAAATATATCTCATCTGTGATGGTTTGACATTCAGTAATAAGGCCTGATACTAAAAAAGCAAGTGTCAGTCTCTTTCTTATATGTGTATATTGTCGCCATAAGGTTGCTAAACAGACATCTCTTTCCTGTTGTTTAGCAAAGATTTTTAGAAAGACAAAAAAGTGTAGGGATGAAATAACAGAATATTTTCAAATATCATGTCTTGAAAGTAACATTAAGTTATATATTTGTTAAATAACTGCATATAAGTGTAACATGTACCATTTTGTTTATTTTTTATTTATAGGAATCTTATTGTTAGGGTCTAAAGCCTATCTGGAAAAGTGAGTTGAATGGTGGTTAATTTTTTTCCTTTGGATCAGCTTGTTGAACTGATGTGTCATGTGGCTGCCTGATGGTTTAGATCTTGTATGAGAAACAATGGAAGTCCGTGGTCAGACAGTTGAAGGAAGGAGGGTGGGATCTTTTTTCAACAGCAACATTCAGTTTAATATTATATGAGACTGTACCCTGTGGTAGTGACTTAAGTTGTGGGGCAATTAAGGCTGTCCTGTTACTAATGAATCTTTGCTACCTCTAGAATTGACTTACTCCTTTCTTCATCCTGTTAAGACACAGTAGGGACTCAGTGTCTATGTGTCTTCTCAGCTGTTCTGTGGATAACTGGAAATTGAAAAAGGATTTTGGGGATCTGCTCTGTCAGATAATAGGAAGCATGCCTATACCCCTAGTAATTGTCTATAGCCCTGCAATCCTAGTAACAGGGAACATGCTCTAATACTCCTAGTATTTTTCCATTGGTCAGGATTTTTATTGATTTTTTTTCCTACTGGATGTCAAGACATGTGCTTTTTTCTCCTTTTACGGATAAAGTCTGCAGTGCTTTCTGAGACATAGCAAGGAAAGGTTGTGGGTGCTGCTGCAAGGGTGGACTTGAAGAAGAGGATGTGCCAAGTTCTTGTTCAGAAATAAGATAGTAGAGAAAGAAAAAGAACATCACCCATAGTGCTTATTCAGGGAGAATATAGGGGGGGTCTTGGAAAATGTAATTTTCAGTAACTTTAAAGCTTGGAAAAGATGAAAAGTAGTTTGCAAACTCCTTGTACAAGGCATTCCAGCATAATTGTGAAATGGTTGTTGAATCTGTCATACGGAATTATCTGTACTCATCTCTTAAATTCTAAATTAATAGCAATACTGCAGTAGAGAGCAGCCTCTGCAGGACTTTCCTCCCTCTCACCATCTCATGAAAGAAGTTTTATTTTACCTTTACAGAACAGCAGAAATCCATTGGTATCTATCAGATATGTTAGATAGTCCTCTTCTGATTGTTTTTGATTTACACTTGCTCCTTTTACATAGCTCAAATAATCAAATGGAAATTTGAGAGTAAATCAAAACCATCTACCTTCTAGTGAGACTTAAGTCTGGAGAATTGGTTCCTTGAACTTTGAGTAGCAAGGGATTTCTTCACTTGCCAGGGATGGGTATGTTCTTGAATGTGAAAAAACATAACACTTGCCCAATTCTTCTACTACTTTTTGCTGACCTTGCATTGATACTAGACACCTTGGGGAAGTTATGAAAGTCTGACCACTCAGAGATTGATATCGTGGAGTCTATTTTTAACTAAATTTTTCTATCTTGCTACTGCTTCTAGAACCATTTCAAGTACAATTGGGCCTGTTCAGGCCTTCCACCTTCATGAAGAGAATTAGAGATGTATTTTTGCATAGTCTCTTACAGTTAGTTTTTTTTAATTTTAATTGTATTTTATTTTTTATTTTGTTAATACTGTAAGCTTTTCACCATTCCTGAGGATTAGTCTACAGCCTCCCTGCAGGAGATGAGCAATTCAGCAACTAGGTAATACACACTAAAGACGTTTCAATCCAAATGGATGGTGAGGTGAAGGGTAATAACGATACTTCATTCAGGAAAACATTAGCGGATTGGGAGTGTTACTGTGTTTGGGTATGTTAATGCTTTCCAGGCTCTCTGATACCTCTTGGTGACCTTGCTCTGTTGCTCTAGGCCTGAAGTTGCACTTACAACAGTAATTGATTACTTGCTAGTAGCCAGAATGATTAATGTCAGGTTCATCTCTGTGCGTTGCGGAAAGGGACTCAGGAAAGTCACTTGTAATGGTGGTGTATGTGATTGATATGCTCTCTGGCATCCTTGGCAATGCTTGTTCTTGGAGGTGCTGGCACCCCACTTGCCCTTTGCATCAGTCAGGTATCTGCTACTAGATTCACTTCCAGTATCTCCCAGTTAGTGTTTTGCCTTCCCAGTTAGCTCTGAGTTTAGGGCATAAATAGTAGACCAAAAATGTTTACTTGCTTTTTGAATGGCTATTCCAGCTATTCTAATACCCTTCCAGTGTCACCTGCTGTCTCTGTACACAAAACCCCATGTACCTTCATGAAAGGTTATGGAATTAATCAAGTCAGAGAAAGTGTTTAGTACTTAACAGAATTTCTGCATTATTTTCAGGCTATCTGTAACATTCTATAAGAGACAATAAAATTAACATTCTTAAACAGAATATGACAAACAATTGTCAAAGCTTGAAGGTATTTTTACTATACTTTGATTTAAATTTTTTACTGTTAGTCAGCAAGATAATCTGAGTGGGGTGATGATGAATGTATCAAACACCAAGAAAAAGGAAAGGGAGTAAGTGAAGTTTTCCCATGGAGCACTGTGTTGCCTTGAATAATTGTGCAAACTTGGATCAAGATCCAGTCCAACATAAATATCTTTAGCTATTAAAAAATGAGAAATTTAGCTAAAATAATGGAATTCCTAAGGATGTATAAAACCAGCCTTCTCATTTGGGGCTTTTAGAGTGTACATTTTAAAACAGTTTTCTTATTATACATAGGATTATGAGTCACTCATCTATTCTATAAAAAGAGAGAGAACACAAGCAGAAGGAAATGGGGCATGTATTTTTAAAGACTGCTTCTGCCTTCCTTTTTGTTTATGTGTCAGCTGAATTTTCATGTAATAACGACTTCTGTAGTTGTTGGTCTTAAAACAGATACTAAATATTGCAAGAATTGTGATGACCTGTGGCAGCTGAGTTTTGTATTTAGATTTTAAAATAGTATGTATATAAAAAAGCTATATAATTTCTAAATTTCATGTGGTATGTAGCAAATGGAGAAGTAGAAGAACCAGCTGAATCTGTTCATAGAGAATTCAGAATGGTGTACTTATTGATAGTTACATGGGAGATGCTCTTCAGTTTCAGATTTGATTTGCTCATTGGTGCGCTTTGAATGCTAGACTGTTCAGTATATTGTTTTGGCAGCGTGTACTGACACTTACTGGAGCGTGTCAGCAGATTTGGCACTAGGCTGCTAGGGAAAAGACTTTGTGTAGCTGGATCATTTCAAAGCTTCAGTGTTTAAGCTGTCATTACACTTTTGATATGAAACGGGTTACCTGAATGGAGTACTGTTCAAGTTCTCATGTTACTAGAATGCATTGAATATAAATACCTAATTTTGGTGTAAATGTTCCATGTTGTAGCCTTGCTTCTGTATTATACAGAAGTCAGCAATTTTATAAGTGTCAATGACCTTTGAGAGAAAGAGCTCTGCTAAGATTCAGATTCTACCAGCAAGTAGAGATTACTTTTTTTTTCTTGAGAACTTTGTGCAAAAGTATGTCTTCTCCAATTAACCTCTAGTGTTTCAACTTCTAAGAAAATGTACTTTATTTTGACTTTTAAATTGTGTTAAATTGTGTTAATTAGATACACAGCAGTGTAGATGTTTTGTCATGTCTGTGACAAACATCTTCAACTTTAATCCCACTTTGACTGTTGTATCTGGGGAAAAAATGGGCACTGGGAAAACATTACATTTCTCAAGTGCTCTTTGAAATACTTGTTGCTATTTTAAAACAAAAACACTTCTGCAAAGTGATTTGTGGGGTCACTTGTGTAACTTAAGTAGTTGTAAAGATTTCAGGAAGAATATGAAAATATTCTTCATTGATTTGTCTTGGAGGGTAGGAGTCAGTTATGTGCTTTTTGCAGGAAAAAAAAGGAAAGAAAAACCAAGAAAAAAACCCATGGTATCATCTATAAATTGACAGCATAGAGACTTTAGTTTTTTTTTGAAAACATAACTTTTATAAGGCAAATTGCTTGAATGATTTTTGCATGAACTGTTTCCTGTAATTAGGATCAAAGCTTTTGGGGGTGTTGAGGGGTAATGGTATATGTTGTGGACACATTTTTAAAGAAATTTGATTCTTGTTTCCTTTTTGTGATTTTTTTTTTTTTTTTTTTTTAAATGGCGTTCTCTGTTCAGCGATAAATTATTATTCAAAATTTATGTGGCAACCCAGTGGTTGAGGTAATTTGGTATCTCATTAAGATTTTGTAGACTAAGCATGTTCTGGTAAAAACTTAAGATTTAATTATTTTTTAGCTTGAAAAATAAATCTTGCATGTATTCTCACTAACATTTTAAAAATATTATTCCAGCTGTGTTGGGGTAGAGGAGCACCATGCTGTTGACATTGATCTGTACCATTGTCCCAACTGTGCAATTCTCCATGGACCTTCTCTAAGTAAGTATGGGTTATTCAAATTTTATTTTATGCTTTCAGTCTGTGTTCTCTCTGTGTTTGTGGTGGGTTGACCCTGGCTGGAAGCCAGGTGCCCACCAAAGCCGCTCTGTCACTCCCCCTCCTTAACTGGACAGGGGAGAGAAAACATAATGAAAGGCTCATGAGTTGAGATAAAGACAGGGAGAGATCACTCACTAATTATCATCATGGGCAAAACCAAACTCAACTTGGGGAAGATTACCTTAATTTATTACCAATCCACCAGAGGAGGGTAATGAGAAGTAAAACCAAATCTTGAAATACCTTCTTCCCACCCCTCCCTTCTTCCTGGGCACAGCATCACTCCCTATTTTCTCTACCTTCTCCCTCTGCAGTGGCACAGGGGGACGGGGTATAATGGGGGTTGGGGTCAGTTCATCACACGTTGTCTCTGCTGCTCCTTCCTCTGCAGAGGCAGGACTCCTCACATTCTTCCCCTGCTCCAGTGTGGGGTCCCTCCCACGGGAGACAGTCCTCCGCAAACTTCTCCAGCGTGAGTCCTTCCCACGGGCTGCAGTTCCTCATGAACTGCTCCAGCATGGGTCCCTTCCACGGGGTGCAGTCCTTCAGGCACAGACTGCTCCAGCGTGGGTACCCCACAGGGTCACAAGTCCTGCTAGAAAACCTGCTCCAGTGTGGGCTCCTCTCTCCACAGATCCGCAGGTCCTGCCAGGAGCCTGCTCTGGTGCTGGCTTCTCATGGGGTCACAGCCTCCTTTGGGCACCCACCTGCTCCGGTGTGGGGTCCTCCCTGGGCTGCAGGGGGACAGCCTGCCTCACCATGGTCTTCCCCATGGGCTGCAGGGGAATCTCTGCTCCGGCACCTGAAGCACCTCCTCCCCCTCCTTCTTCTCTGACCTTGGTGTCTGCAGGGCTGTTTCTTTTATGTGTTCTCACTCACCTCTCTGGCTGCAGTTTCTGTGCCCCAGCAACTTTTTTTCCCCTCTTAAATCTTTTATCACAGAGGCACTACCACTGTCACTGATGGGCTTGCCCTTGGCTGGCAGCAGGTCCATCTTGGAGCTGGCTGGCATTGGCTTTGTCAGAGATGGGGGAGGCTTCTAGCAGCTTCTCACAGAATCTACTCTTGTAGCCCCCCCCCCAGCTACCAGAACCTTGCCACACAAACCCAGTACAATGTACAACTGAAAAAGACTGTTCAGAAGAACATTCAAGATTAGTCTGATTACTCAGAAGGTGCTGGTTCTACATAACTAACTCTCAGCTGATAAAACAAAACCACAAAACCAACACAAAACAAACAAACCATCCTGAAAGGTTCCTTGATCTGGAGATGCAGAGAGAATAAAATATGAGCCACCGCTATGGATTAGAGAAATCAAAGCACACAGAGCTAGAAGAAAACAATCTGGACTTGACAGAGTGAGAGAATGAAAATTAGGGAATTGTAGTTTAAAAAAAAAAAAAAAGGAAAATCCAAAAGATGGCTTAAGGTTTCTGTATTTTAATCATCAAAATTCTAATACCTAGGAAGGCAACTTGGAGAAAATGTAGGAGTTAGCTGTTTTACCGTTCTTGATGATTGTAGGCTATATGCCACAACAGTCCAGTGAAATCTGAGAATATGAACTTCCTGTAGGTGGTGTTTGTTTGTTTGTGATGTGGTGTGTTTGGTTTTTGTGTGGGGGGTTTTTTTTTCCTTCCTATTTATGCCTTTGAGAGTTACGCAGCTCCTAATTTCAGGTTTCTGATTTATAAATAAATTTCCACCAAGGTCCTTGTGCAATTTTAGGAGTTGCTGGAGGAGTCTGTGAAACAGAGCAGCAAGAGGCATATCTTCTTTGGTTCTTCTTTCAGTAGATAAATTTGCTGCAGAGCTCTGCAGTGGAAAGATGGAAGAGTTTTTGTCTTTCTGTAACAACTGAAAGGATGCTGCTTTATCCAACTTTCTAGATTTTTCCTCATGACTTCTGTTCTCAAAAGGAAACTATGTAAAAATGAATTTCACCTTTTTAACAATGAATTAAGTTTCTATGTTCAGACCTGAAAAATGTTTATATGTACTGTGTGTCTTTAACCTCCAAGCACTAAATCATGGTCATTTGTGTTTTCTAATGTGGTTTCTTTTGCTTGAAGACCACATAATGATTTGTAGTCAGCAGTGACTTAAGATCTAGAATCTGCACCCTCAGTGGTAGTCTTGTGGAGTATGAACAAAGTGATAAAGCATTACTTATTGATCTAATTAATGTATGTTGCAAGATAAGTATCTTGTATAGTATGCAAATTCAGGGTTAGCTACTTTTAGGTTAGGGGCTTAAAGGTAAGATAAATGCTGTTTTACATGCTTGTAGTTTTTAGTATTCCAGTTGTCATTTTCAGTTAAAAATCTTCATGTCTCTCCTGTAAATCAGAATACAAATAACAGCCATTTCTTTCCCTACCTTTCCTGCCTGTGGAATAGAGGGACTAGGAGGAGGAGTAGAAGGGGGATCATATCCGACTTTCAACATAATAAACTAGTAAATTTGAAACTTCTTTTCTCTTCTTGATTTGGGAGAACTAGTATGTTCCACCATGAAGCCTGTGAATAACCTTTCTTGTAATGCAGAGGCTGCTGGCTCTAATGCAAGCTCTGTCTCACCTGCAGCAATTTGACAGTGAGATAAGAGTGATTTTTGTATTGGAAGTCTTCTCAAAAAGACAAGAATCTGTGGTAAAAATTATCCTTACTACTTCATATTGCCTCAAGTAAGCAGATCATCTAGATTTAGTAGAAGCTTCAGACATGTCACTTATCAACCCAAGCAGAGGTGATATGTCTTCACCTGGAATTTTTTTAATTGTTCTCAGCAAAGCTGTCAGAATCAAATCTATGATAGTTTGTGGTTTGGGCTCTACTTTAGAGAGGCTGATAATGTCTCATGACTTTGAGTGTTGTAGCAATGCTCCAGAGTCCTTCAATCATATGAAATTATGTACATAAATAAAAAAAGCATTGTTGTTTACAGCTTCGTATTCTAAAATCCCTTTGTCTAAAGGAGTTTTGAAAGAGACAAAAATTCAGCTGTTTGTTTAAAGGGCAAGTATATCTGTGATTTCAGCCGACACTTGTGTATATAATCCATCTAATCAAATGATGTAGTGCAAAAAATTTATTAAAAATATGCAAGAAACACATACTTTGTACTACCAAATGGATGGTTACTTTCAGTATTCTGCAAAATTAATTATGTAAAAGTTTCAATAAACTACTGCAATCAGTTCAATAAGCTACTGCATAGTCAGATGTAAAGATCAAATTAACCAATCAATTTCTTCCTGTATTTCAAAGAAAAATACATAAAAAAAAAATCCTCTTGTTGATTTGGAAGAGCAACAATTTTACAAGACCTTTAGTAAACAGCTGTACGTGTAAAATGCTGAATAATTAATCCCCAAATCCTGAATAATAAAAAAAGAGCAATTTAAAAGAATACTAGTACATTATGGAGTTTTCTTAGCTTACTTGGTTTAGAGTCTTCATATTATATTTTGTTATTTTCCAATTTTTCTCAGTGATCCTTAAGTCTGAAAATGCTCTATTTGCATGAATGCTGGGAGTCAAGTCTGTCACCAGACTGTAGAATCCAGAGCTTTAAGAGAGCGTGAGGTGCAATAAATGTTAACAGGACTGTGGTTGTCAGGACATTACTTTCTTAATCGGGTTTTATATTCTCAAATTCTGTAAATATCCTCCCACCTGTTTTTTCTGAATGTGGTAGTAATGCCAGTGTTTGGTCTGAGCTGACAATATGAGATGATGTACTAGGCCTTGGAAGTGGTATTCCATGATTTACTGTATGTTACTGTATGTGGTATGTATGATTTACTTCCTATGCTAACATTTCTCTTGCCTTTTTGATCACTGGGAATCACCTAGAGGACCACTTCCAAGACTTGGGGCCTCATTGTGTAGATGTACACCTCTCGATGGTCCCCATTTGAAGTCTAACATGTGGCCTCTGAGGCAAACAGAGTAGTAGCGTGAGAAGGCAGGGAATGGTGTTTGCCTAAAGTATGTACAGTTTTTGGCCTCTTGTTTTGAGTTTATAAGGAATGTAACTTAAAAATAGCTTTCTGCTTACTTTTCCTGAAAACTTCCAGCACACTCCTTTCTTTTTCTCAACGCTTCTGCAACTGTCTAGTGTACTTCTAGTGTATGTATTTTTAGTGTTGTCACAGCAGGTTGTGCCTCAGTTTTGAGGAACAGCAAGGGTGAACACTAGTTCGTTCCACTAGTTTGGAGTAATTGGGAGGGGGAGCTGTTCTATATGCATTTCAATTTATGTAGGTTTTTTTGTTTGTTTTAATTTGAGCATGAGGATCCATTCAGTTAAATTATTTTTCTTGCAACTGTTATTGTAATGTCTTGTGGGGTTATAAAAGGTCTAGAATTAAGAGATATGTAAGTCGGAAAACTTTCCATTACTGTTTTCTGTTCTTCAGTATTCTCTTACTTATGGAAGGATGATATACATTGCCAAGTACTAAGTAAAGGAATGACTTTAATTTCTGATTTTTAGGTGTTGGAAAGACAGATTTTTAAAAGTTGGTTCTGTGCTATAAAATCTCTTCAGCAGCTTATCTTACAATTTTAATAAGCTGTTATAACAGCAGTGAATTTATGAAAAACTACTCTGTTGCAAATTAGTATTAGCCACTAATTTCTTGTATTATTTTTTATGACTGAGAAAATAGCTTTGAAAACTTAATAAACCTGGCTTCATTATTTATGAAGTTTTACTGTATTTGGATAGTTGGCTCATTAAGCAGGCTCTTCAGCACTGGTTTTCAGGTTAGCAAATAGCTATAAATGTCAGTTAATTCTCTTGAATGTCTTCTAAAGGGTACATTTTGTCACATCTGTAGGAAACAGCTTATCAGTAGGAATAATTACCTCTTATGTGTAATGACTATATAAGGTGTCAGTTATTCCTGTATAACCAACTGTTTTTTTCTGGAGAAGCAGCAATTTATTTTTTTTTAAATTTTAGAAACTACTTTTTCCTTTCCCCTCTAAAATCCTTATCTTCCTGTTACTGTTAGCTGTGTTTTCAGTATTGCTAGCACTTTTTTAGATTTTGGGTGCATCGTGACTTTGGTAAACTTAGGAATGAGCTCTTCCATAAAGTTCAAATTTGTATTAATACAGTTCAGCTGGGTGTTGTATTTGCATTGCAGGCTGTTTTGTATATGCCTGTAAAACACCATTTGTGTTGACAAGTAACAGTAGCTTTTCCCTATTCTGTGTTTCCTCAGCAGATGTAACTAAATTTCTGCTTAATATTAGTGGTTAAATTGTAGATCTGGTATCAGTAAATCTTCTTAGGGCAGTCTTTCAGTAGCAACTATCTAATGCTGTAGAGCAGAGTTTGGCTTTTTTAGGAAAAACTGAAACGCAACCTAAAAATTACTGTGCCTTTAGTATATTTCTTAGCGTGGTAAATGATATACTGGTAAGTCAATAAAAAGGTAGCGAGTTGAGCACTGTTGGAGTCACTTTCCCAGATGATGAGATGGTGGTCCTTTTTGCCAAGGCACCTGTTGGGAATTTAGTAGGGCTTCTCAGCCTGTTGAATGTTTGCGTACAAGAGATAGTTTTATTTGTATAGGCAGAAAGTGCTCCAAAGTGCAGTTTGCTAACAGATAGATGATACAACCAAGGGCTTGCTTTCAAAGCAGTAAGCTTGTGTTCTTTATAAATCAAGACACAAAATGAGTGGTTGATGAAGATGAATTAATGAAATATCCATTATGAAATAATTTGTCACGAAATAATCAAAATTTGAAGATGGGCAGTAAGGCCACTATGATATCATAAGTCACTTTGTCCTCTGCTTCACTTAAGGCCAAAAAATTCTACTGGGGAGACTGCATACAGCTTACAATGTTCTAAACTACAGCCTTTCAATATATAAAGGGGACTTAGAAAGAAGATGACTTTTTGCTGAGGCCTGTAGTGACAGGACAAGGGGTAATGGTTTTAAACTGAAAGAGGGTAGGTTTATATTGGATATAAGGAAGAATTTTTTTATGATGAGGATGGTGAGACACTGGAACAGGTTGCCCAGAGACGTTCTGGATGTCTCATCCCTGGAAGTGTTCAAGGCTAGGTTGGATGGGGCTTTGAGCAGCTTGGTCTAGTGGAAGGTGTCCCTACCTCTGGCAGGGGGTTGGACTAGCTGATCATTAAAGTCCCTTCCAACCCAAACCATGCTATGATTCTATGAAAATAGGTTTTTTTCTCATTTGTGTGTCTGTCGTCTGGGGATGATGTCGTTTGGGGAGACCAACACAACAGTTTTTATGAGAATGGCTAGTTTTTCATTTTCCTTGGCCATTGAAGTACAGGGAACTGTTAAAAATGCAGTTTAGTTGCTACGGAACTATCAGTTTCAGATGCCCCAAATTGTAATAGAACATTAATTTATCCTATGTTCATTATTAATATGCTGTAACAGTGCATTAAAACTTCAAACCACTCAGAAGTTGGTTGTTTTGGGGCGCAATGCATGCTTTATATGTATTGTGCTTGCATAGTATAGATCACACCTGCCCAAAACAGTTTATGCCCAAAACTGTTACAGAGACATAAGTAGTATATAAAAGAAAGGTGGTTTGGTTTCAAATAGCATATAGTAGTGAATAGTAGTAATATTATCAGACTGGATATGGGTATGCTTGTATGGTGAGATAGCACAATGGGATTAGGTCCTGTTGATTCTTTGTTAATGCATAAAATGAAGTCTATGGATCTTGAAGAGGTACAACTCTTCTGTTTATTTAAAAAACAAAAAAAGTCAGCTTTAGGAAATTAAAGTTCTACTAGTTTTGTTGCTGACTTTTTAGATTTGGACAGCTTTTAGGCTGCTGCTGTTTGCTTGTGCTGCACTGGATATGGAGTCTTAAATAATGTATGAAGTGCACTGAGGTTCTCACATAGAAGGAGCTATAGAAGTATAGAGGATTACTGTCAGGTGTCCTAAAGATTTTGTTTGTTGCAGATAAGTAGAGTGTCACCTGCATAAACAATAAGGTTTGTTAATCATAATAATGTGATTGAGGCATGTCTGGATCTCTGGTGGGATGACTGCTAATCTGAGCCATCTGATTTAACTAATTCAATGTTTAATCCTTCTGAAACTTGTAGTGAAGAAGAGGAGGAACTGGCACAGACATGACTACACAGAGTTGGATGATGGTTCCAAACCAGTGCAGGCTGGAACACGGACCTTTGTTAAACAGCTGCGGGCTCGCTGTTTCCCAAGGTACAGAAGCTTACTTACACATTTCAGTGAAAAAAATAGAGAAATGTTGTCAGCTGAGTGTGTCTTGGGGGAGGTGACTAACATTTCTCTGTTTCAGAAAATTAAGGTTGAGGATGACTTCCTCCTCCATTAGAATCGCCCCACTGCCCCATCCCTGTTTTAGATGGATACGTTTGCCTTTTCGTGCAGTAGCTTCCTCTGTTGAGTTTTGCACTGAGTTATGTTGTCTGTCGGGACTGCTACAGGGTGGTGGTGGGGGTTTTGATTTTTTGGGGGTTTTGTTTGGGTTTTTTTGTGGGGGTGTAGGGGCAGTAGCATAAGTGGTTGGTTTTTCTTTTTCTTTTTTTGTGCCTGAACTCTCAGAATATTGTCTGTCTATTCCTCTAGTCCAGGAGTAGTCCTCAGTTTCATTCCAGATAACATAGAACATTTATATGAGCTGGGAGTCTATCCATTCTCACATGCTTTAGAGGAAAGTGGAGAAACATGTGTTTTACTTTCATCCTGAGCTGTCTGTGATAGGCTATCTCACTGAAACATGATGACTTACAATTCTTTAAAGGAGGTGGTTGTTGTTGTTACCAAAATGTACTTGAATGTCTTCTCTGAGAATTCCTTTTCCCCATCCTCTTAAATTACTGTGTTCAGTCATACAGAAAGATTATGAGTTCCCAGGTTATGCATGACAATAAATGTTTCCTTGCTGGTTTAGGTTGTTTTCTTTGTCTTTTAGTTAAATGCTTAATGTAATAGTACTGGGTCCATTTGTTTTGGATTCAGATATAGCCATTCCCATCTGTCCTCCCACAAACGGTGACTTTTTTTTTTTTCAGTCATGGTAATATTCTATTATTTCTTTCCACCAGTGCTGATGAAGTAATTTTGAAAATGCATGGAAGCCAGCTGACACAAAGATACTTGGAAAAACATGGGTTTGATGTTCCCATTATGGTTCCTAAATTAGATGGTCTGGGGCTCAGACTTCCTCCGCCAACTTTCTCTGTTCTAGATGTGGAACGCTATGTAGGTAAGAGTCACTCTGGAGTACTTACAAACGATCCTGTCTGTAAATTAAAATAAATATTTGCATGATTATAAGAGCTTCCAGGGTGCTAAATACATATTCTAAATTGAAGACTAGCAGAAAGTAAAATTAAAGCTATGGGGTTTTGGTTCTTTCTTTCTTTCTTTTCTTTCTTTCTTTCTTTCTTCTTTCTTTTTTTTTTGTGTCTGTGGTAGATATGTGATAGGAGTGCAGCCTTACTTTTCAGCTTTCAAACATGTTAATTATGGTGCAAGCTAAACACGGAATGCAGGTTTCTTTTTCTGCTGTGTGTTGTAAACCAATAAAGTGTAATGACTTCTAAGATTGTGTTCTTTGTGGGAATTGAATGAATCACTCTTGTGATCAATAAAGTTTAATCATTGGTTAGGATATTGCAAAACTTAATGTTTTGGGCTCAGTAAATTGACATTTCTGAATTAAATCTTTCTTCCTGGAAAATTTCCTACCTTGGCTTCCTTTAGCAGGAGAGCTAGAGCTTCCCAAGGACCATTTCTTTCCTATCAGATCTCTTGACAGTCTGTAATTGTTTCAGCCTCATGTAAGTGTGCAGTACAGAGAAATAGAGACTGAGCTAATTGGGGTATGACGTTTCCTGTAACATACAGTTGAGAAGTCTATATATGGCCTTGTCTGTGTTCTTGTGATAACCTAATATAATGATGTGTGCTGAATGTAGGTTTTCTGTCCATCAACATTTTACAATGGCACCAGAATGTAGGAAATATGTAGTATAGGGTATATTGTTACCATTATGATGATAATAAACAGTAATGTGTTCTGCTTTGAAGTGTAATTATCGTTCTGATACTTCTGAATCTTTTCTTTTGGAATACTGCCTCTTCAGATTCAGAGAGAAACTTGGTCTTCTTGTTCTCATACATATATTTTGACCTGCCAGGTTTTCCAGTTTAGGGAGAAAAATAGAATGTCACAGATTTACCGTTCTGTTACTGAAATTAAAAATAAGAAAACTGAATAAATACTATTCCAACTGGAATTTCTCAAGATGATACTAACTTGCAATTTTAACACAGTTTGTGTTTATAATGTACATTTAGATATATTCCAGCATTCCAAAGTTAATTGTCAAATTTGACCATTGTATAACTAAATGGACATAAAACAATTACTCTTATTATATTGTTGTTAAAGCAACCTTGGTTAAAGGTTGCTTCTTGCTTGTCTAGTTCTACAGATGTGTCACTTCAAAATACATGGTAGGTAAACCAATCCTTGTTGCCTTTGGAAGTGAAGCACGCTCATGACAATTATTCAATGAAATTACTGTGTGCTTGAAAGTTATGTCTGTATATAAGGAGGGTGGGAGCGGGCTTGTAGAATGTCTGCGAAGGAGTACCTGCGTAGTTTTTAACATTAATAACTTACCAATTATGGCACAAGTTTAGTTCAGTTTGCTAAGAATTACAAGCTGTAAGGAGTAGGATTTATTATTTGTGAAGAATTCGCAGTGGTCCTTGTATTAAATATTCAAGTGCTGTGGTGATGATTAATAGGAAGAGTGAGGAATAGATCTGCCGTGATAACTTTCTCTGTGCTAGTCTTTCCAATTGCAGCCACAAACCCAATTTTTTTTTTTTTTTTTAAACCAGTTGCAATCATTCTATACTGCTCTTTTTCTTTTTGGTTAACCACAGGAAAGAGGATTTTTTTTTTTTTTTTTACAGTGTTTTGACTCCTGTCCTTAGCTGATTACAGCAGTTAAAGTTAGACCTAATAAAAAGTTGTTTTATACTGATCTGTCTCTGTTGCAAGAGAATACTGATAGCAGTGGAGTTTTTGTGCAGGAATGTTTTGATAAAGGCTGGAAAAAAGTTAAATTTCTCTCAAGCACCTTAATTGACTGTTTTTATCTGCAGTAGGTTTAAGAAAGTCATCCTATTTTTCACAGGTGGCGACAAAGTGATAGATGTAATAGATGTAGCAAGACAAGCAGACAGTAAAATGAAGCTCCATAATTATATTAAGTATTTCACAAATCCCGACCGACCAAAAGTATTGAATGTGATCAGCCTGGAATTCTCGGACACAAAGTGAGTACTGACTTAAATTCATTGAACATAGAAGTGGTTTTCACTAAGCTGAACAGTATGTGTAGGAATATAAAGTCTGTAGTGGGAAAGATAGGAGGCTGTATATTTTATGTAGACAGCTACTGTGATGTAATGCGGGTATAAAACATTTGTATTAATTCACAAGTAATAACTTTGTAGGAAACAAAAATTTAAACCTGTCATTTAAAAAGAGTTGTGCTTACTCTTGATTATATTTATGGTTCTTTTTTGTTTGTTTGTTTTAAAAGGATGTCTGAATTAGTGGAAGTACCAGATATTGCCAGAAAGCTTTCATGGGTGGAAAATTATTGGCCAGATGATTCTGTCTTCCCTAAGCCTTTTGTTCAGAAGTATTGCTTGATGGGTGTCCAGGACAGCTATACTGATTTTCATATTGATTTTGGAGGAACATCAGTTTGGTACCATGTTCTTTGGGTATGAAGACTTCTTGATTTATGACTATGTGAAACAAAATTTATTCAGTGTGCAGCCTTCTGCCATGGCATTATCACCTGTATGAAATTTTGTGCTTAAAAAGCCAGAGGAGGAGCTTGAAAGTGAATTACTGATTGTTGGTGTTGCATTTTTATGCTTTTATTTTAGCATGCTGTTGGTGACTTCTAGGCTGTAATTAGTTGACTGATCATTTTAGTAGACTGGTAGGTAATATAGTGAGGTTTTAGTATGAAAAAATTAATTGAATGAAAATCATTGACATACTCAACTTTTTATTCTTCTCACAAACTTTGACCATGTATACATCAAAAAAAAAAAGGCAAAGTGGTTTCATCTTATGTTTTCTCATTTGGCATGTGTGCACATATCCATAAATTGTTCATAAAAGCTGGAATTTTTTATACTCCAATGAAAAGTTTTGGTTGATTTGTTTGCTTCTTTTACATCACAAGACACCAACTGGTTAGCGTACTATTGACTGAGCTTTTGGTGGATTACAGTTGGGAAGCACTGGGGCTAGGAAGCCCTAACATTCCATAATGGAGATATGGAATACTTACCATTTAAATCAATCTGTTACTTCATTAGGAATGATTCAGAGGTTGTAGTATGCCTCCAGGAGGACATTCATTTATTTATTTAACATTTTTGTTTAATAGGGTGAGAAGATATTCTATTTGATCAAGCCCACTGATGAAAATTTGGCTCTGTATGAGTCTTGGAGTTCATCTGTCACCCAGAGTGAAGTATATTTTGGGGACAAGGTTGACAAATGTTACAAATGTGTTGTGAAGCAAGGTCACACTTTATTTGTTCCAACAGGTAAGATTTTATCCATATTACTAGGACTTAGCATGTTCAATCACCAGGATTTAAGGGTGTCCTAAAATGATTGCTCTATCAACATTTGGTTTCTCCTAAAATTTTGGTTAAGAGAGAATAATAAAAGATTTTGAAATTCAGATTTTCAAAACAAGTAATTAGATAGCAGTTATCAGGGAAAGAAAGGGTGCTTGTTACCCAATTATAAGACAAAGAATTAAAACTTTATTTGGATATCAGGGAAATAGTTCCAATTCATAGAACACACATTGTTCACCATTTGATAGATATCCAGACTGAATTATTATCTTAATTTTATAATACAATTTTGTTTTTACAGGTTTTGAATATTGTGAGACCTACTAGGCAAAATTATTACAAGAACATCACATAAACTTCTTATGCTGTAGGCTAGAGGATTAAAAATAAAAGTTGGGTGGGGTTTCTTTGGGTTTTTGTTTGTTTGTTTGTTTGGCTTTTTTCTTCATTTTTTGTTTTCTGTCAGCAGGAAATCTGAACTTTGGTGGAGCCTGTAGAGACTTTCTGAGTCAAAATGAAAGTGTCCCTAAATAGGGACAAAGAATGTATAATTGAATTCATGTCTTAATTCCTTTTATTAAAAATAAAAGGATATTTGTAGATATAGTTTATGAAACTGTAGAGTTCATAAATTCATTTCAGAAGCACCCTAAACTCCCAAGTACCATAAACTTAGAAGTCTTCAATAAATCAAACCATATTTTGCCAATAAAGTAAGTGCCGGTTAATTTATTTTCACTTATCCAGCCCATCCATATAAATACTTCTTATTATTTTATTATTAAAGATTTGTACTGGATACTATCTTCCCTTTTTGGGGGGAGGAAGCTTTAAATACACAGAGAAGGAAAATGGTGCATGATTCCACTTCTGGAATAAGCCGTGGAGATTATATTCAGTACCTTATTCTGTCATGAACTTCCTAGACAGACTACTACATTTTTCTCATAGCTCAGTTCTCTCCTCTGAGGTTTAGTATTTACTGTTCTAGTTTATGACTTGCGCAGAATAAATACTACATGGTGAGGAGCTATATATGCACTTAACATTTCTGAACACCCAGAGCTTTTTAAAACCATATATTTTTTACAAGAGATGACATTAATTTTCCATTTATCTAAGTGAAAGGTCATACTTCTATGAACAAAGAATGCAGAATTACCGAATGAAGAACTTTATTGTGACCCACAGATCTTTGAAGAAGATAAACTTCCCAAGTTATCAGCTGAATCTGAGCTCTCACTATAATGTGGCCAAAAAGAAAAGTATCATAAAATGATAATTTCTAATGTATATGTGTATTTGTGTGTGTATACACATAAAATGATACTTTGTAATGTAAATGTGTGTATACACATATGTGTATGTGTATACACACACACATATTCGTATACATATGATGGAGTATAGTGTAAGAACCAGTAAATTAAACTAGATTTCAAGACAGGTGTTTAAAAATGGGAAATTTCTGTAAGACTGATTAAAGGCTTTAAAATACCCTGATCTCTACTGAAAACCACTTTTGCTGTTCCTGCTTGCACTGATGGTAGTGGATGTCATAATTATTTTATGACCTCTGAAATATGTTCAGAGTAGACTTGTGATTTAAAATTTATCTTGCATGTAGATGAATAGCACCTACTGGGAGGCTCTTGAGAGTTATTTAAATATTATTCAAGATATTCTGTGTGGTCGACACCAAATTTTCTTGCCTTGTTACATAGACCTTGATCAAAACTGCAGCATAAAAATAGCAAGTAAAATGTAAAAAAAATTAAATCCTTTAGTTTGATACAGGTATGCCATAAAAATCCTTGGTGTTGATGCAACAGTGACAAGGCTTTGTTGTCAGTTTTGTTGGTGTCTGGGGAGATGTGTGTTTAAAGGGTTGAAATACACATACACCTTGGAGAGTCAGAGGTATTCATCCACTATGATGGTGATGGCAAGAGTGAAAAATTGAAACCGTATTAACAAATGCAAAATGCATCTGGTAATACAAGGCAATCTTCATTGCACTGCACCTCAAAGAACAGAAGTAAAACTGAACAATGTATAATATTAATTAAAAAAACCCCTTAGGTTACATGTGGCATTGTATTCTACATTCTCTGGTAACTTACTTCCTTCACAGTCTACATAATAGGCATGTTACTTAGTCAGCGTAGTTGCTAGGTTTCAGGTCTTTTGATGTGTGGTACCACAACAACTAGAACTTGGTTGTTCTTAAATGAATTAGGGCATGTATTTAATGGTAGTTTGCAGTATGTAGTTGCTTGTGATTTGGTCTGATCTTGCCTGAAGTTGGGGAGCTTCCTGTGTTTTTGTATGTCTTGCCTACACTCAGTCAAACCATGAAGTAATCTGCAAATGTATGGCCAACTCATCTTTTGTCAAAAGATCATCTGTATGCATGCAAAATCAGAAAAAAAAAAAATCTTGGAAGAAGAAACTCTATTTGTAGTTTATTTACATTAAAGCTGCACAGTATAAATTTTGAAGGTAACTAATTTTAATCAGCAAGCTAATATCATATGTTCTTTTGTGTACTTACTTGAAATTATCCACTAGTAATCAGCTAGATTGCTAGCATAATGTTGGCCGTGCTTTGCCACGTTGAATAGTGGAGTTCACAGGACAATATTTCAATTATGTGACAATTTTATGTACTCAGAGTGCCTAGACTGGGTTTTAAACTGGTAGTAATTTCTCTGGAATTAGGACAACTGTATTTGGAATAATTAATGGAACTACTTCTGAATTCCTATTTGAGAAACTTCAGTATTGTAGATGACTTTTTTATGTTGTGCAAACAGCTCAGTTACTGTAAGCACATGTAAATATTGTAAGGAAAATAATTTCTATTTTATTTTTATGACTTTATCTTTTGTTCAGTATATTCTTCCTCTCCTGACTTGCTTATTTTTGTTGATTGGAGGGAAAACTTCTGGGAATTTCTACTTAAAAAATGACTGGTGGTCTTGCATCCCCCCTCTGCCTCCTGTGAAAAAAGTCTTAATCTTAACTCCTTCAGAAAACTGCATTTCCACTAGATTTCTGAAACTCTGTAATTTACATGTTGTTAAAATTTAGATTACTTGTTCCTAGCACAGAATACAAATTTGTTTGGTTTTTTTTGTTTCTAGGTACAGCATTTTTACTTATATGTGTATTTTAAAACAGTCTTAGAATAATTTATATGCATTTATTAAGTTTCAGAATCTGTCATTTCAGGCTGGATTCACGCTGTGCTCACATCTCAGGATTGTATGGCTTTTGGAGGAAACTTTTTGCACAACCTCAATATTGGCATGCAGCTCAGGTTAGTCTCAGCTCTTCCTATAGCTTTTCCTCAGTAAGTAGGATATTCCTTTAATAGATATTTTTCTTCATGCTCTTAACCAGGATCAAATCGGTACAGGCTCTCAAACAGATATTAGTGGCATTTTCAGTTAGAATGTATCAAGCACGTACTCTTATTTCACTTCTGCAAAGTTTGTTTCAAAAACAAAATGAAGGGTATGCAAGAATTTAAGTGAATAAAAGAAAAATAAAGGAAAGAAAAACGCTACTTTGGAGATTAGTATAAGTGAGTAAAACAAAACTGAGCAAGCCCAGGTGTGCGACACTGAGTTGAAATGAGCGTCCTCAAGTCAGCATTGCTCTAAGGGCAGCTGTATTTAGTTTTTGTCCAAGATGTGGAGCTGTCTTCTAAACATATTGTTTTTATTTATTACAGTGGAATCCTGATAAAATTCCATCTGTTAAAAGATCACACATTGGGTTTGTATCCTAGTTTTATGAAGTCCAACTTTATTCTTAGAAGTGCCGCAGTCAAACTTGATAAGGTCAGAGCCTGGATGAGACCAGAGTTCAATCTTGTCTGTGGTCTTGTTGGGATTTAACTATGTGGTACTTGACTTCTTTTATTTATCATGGCCATGGTTATTTTATTTTATTTTGAACATTGTGTCAATTTGAATGATTACATAGTTGAATAATGAATTTTATAATTGAGACATTCATGTTTTGTAATATTTCTATTTATTTAGGTGTTATGAAATGGAGAAGAGGCTAAAAACCCCAGATCTTTTCAAATTTCCTTTCTTTGAAGCCATCTGTTGGTTTGTGGCCAAAAACTTACTGGAAACATTGAAAGGTAATCCTTATTTTGTTTTAAGAGGTATACACGTATCTGCTCCTCCCCACCCCCCCCCCCCCCCGCCCCCTCACCCCTCCCCAA